GTTGGAGATGCTCCTAAGCACTAGCATTGCTTAATGTTCTCAAAGTATTAATTTTCGCTCGTTTCTTATTAGATTTGTTGGTTTTCTACATAAAAGTTATGAATCTTTTTGTGTGAGAGATGGCCAAAGCAATTCGGAGTTGGTGGTGCTTTGCCTCCTACGAAAGATCTTAATCAATATTTCAAATGGCCAAAAGCAATCCTTCCTAAAAAACAGAAGCGTATCTTTAAGCAGAGGTTGAAGTTTCCACCAGCTCTTAACCAGTTCACCAAGAATCTTGATAAGAACCTTGGTAATACTCGCATGAGTCACTCACTTTCTTATGGTTATTAGAAATCTGCATGTTTGTCCTCTTCGCTTTGAATTATCGGTTGCTTAATGTATCATGTATCCGTAATTCGCATCATCCAGCCTCTTCAACATTCTCATGAAGTATAGGCCAGAGGACAAAACCAGAAAGAAAGACCACCTTTTGAAGAACGCTCAAGCCGAGGCTGAGGGAAATTGAGAAATTCTTATGTGAATACGCTAACTTCAGTGACGAGTACATGAAGAAGTTGGGGAGGAGGTATAATGGGATTCAAGTGTCAAGCCAAGACCAAAGCTAAGGAGGCTGCCAAGAGAAAGACCTCGGCATCTCTGTTCTTGTTTAAGAAGCTTATGATCATGGTTTTGTCTAGGGATTACTTGAACCCGATGTTTTAATGTTTTAATTTTACTTGCACCTTTGTTATCTATTTCGCTTGTAAGTTTTTAAAGTATTGATTCGTACTTTCGTGGGGTTTCCTAAAATATCAAAATGCTTTGTTAATTGGTAATCAGCCAAAACATCTTTTCAATTGTTACGGGGCATTTGTCCAGAGCGATGTTCGCGGTGGTATCAAACACCTACAAAATTTGCAGATCATCAATCATATACAAAGCCATAACTCAGAAGGTCTCTCATATATATGAAGTGAGCCCAACAAACAATCAAAGCAAATAATTTTTGATTAGTATCACTCAAGTTTCGTAACATTCTTCACAGCAGAAGATTCATACCGTTTGAAGAGAGGTGAGAATCGATGGCGCTGTATGATTTTGACGAGGACAAAGGTGTTTGCAGCAAGAAACACCAAACTCGCTATCCATAGCTGTAAAAAGACGTTATATCCCTTGAATTCAAGCATGTATCCCCATAAAAGCCAATGTGTCTGAGCTCCAATCCACAGGATGATGCATAACAAGCCTTCCCATTTCAGCTTCATACGGCTCCATGGTAGAATCAAAGGTAACAGGCAATAGAACCACACAAAGTACTGCGCGGTTATCACCTAAAGAAAAATGGACCGATAAAACATTAGATCAAAACCAGAAGGTTTTAGCTCACTGAGGAATGCATAAGAAAATGAACAATCGAAGACTTTTTGGGCTGAAATGAGAGCAGAGTGATGCATTACATACCTTATTGAAAGCCACGAATGCAACGGTTTGGAGAAAGATACAGAACACTAGATCCTGGGAGAAGGAGAAGACTAGAGCAAACTGTACTGTGAACTGAGGTAAAAACGAGATAAGCTTCTCCACAGCTGAAAACTGGCGCTCATAGTGAAGATATATGTGATAGAAGTAGATGGAGAAGTTGTGCCTTGGATCCGTCCGAGTGAGATGATATAAGAGAGCCTCGTGAAGAAATTCATGTCCATAAAAATAGAAGGAAACCGCATTGCAAGCTAGAAATACTCCCCCCGATATCAAACCAAACCTGATTCTCTCCCTTGAAAATAAACTTTTCAAGGCGGTCAAAAGATTGAGGTGGAATATTTTATTCTCCGTGTTACTGGTAGGTGTCTTAGCCTGACCGGTATTCCAATCCTCTAGAGGCGGCTTTTGACCAGATCTAAATATCTGGGAATCGAGAACAAGGATGATTGGTAACGCATATATAATAGGATAGACCCTGAAATGCACAACAAGCCCGTACCAAAATGCAGCTTGTGACAAATTACCTACACAGCAAACCATATTGTTGTTGTTGTCTCATTAGTTTGGCAGATTAACAAACTGGATATTCCACTGATAAGAGCAGGAAAAAAGAATTGCAACCCAAACCACAGAGAACAAAACAGAAAACCATATGTACGCCCAAACTCTCCAAAGCCTAAAAGAAGTCCCCAAACCACTTTCCAAATACTAAAACAGTTCATAAAGAACACCTTGTGTATCACCTTGTAAAAGCAAAAAAAAAAAACTATTAAATATATATATATGTCATAACACTTCTCTTTTGCAGCTTATCATCCACATCTAGAATATTTCTTCCACTTTCTCAAAGGCTTCTTACAATCACAAATGTGAATTGAATTGGTATAAATTAGTTAATGGAAGTTATTTTCAGGGTATCAAAGCATTAAAAGCTGCAAAATTAATAAACCTCTAACAGAGAAAAAGTAAGTTCCCTTAATTTGTACTAATCTCAAAGTAGGTGTTGTTTACCTCGCATAAGGGAGATAATGATCCATAAAATCATGGCACAAACGATGGGTTCACAGTTCCCTCTGGTTCCTATTGTGAACGTAAACGGATTGAGAAGCCATACCATTACAGAATATGTACATATCTTCTCAGGCACCTTACGTTGTTTCAAAATAATACGGATAAACAAGCCGACCAGCAAATCTGAATAACGAAAACAGATTCAGAACAAACAAATTCTCCAAAAATAGTAATCTGAAGCTAATGATTATCAACAAAAGAAAGGCTGAGATAAGCTGATACCAGAAGCAGAGAAAAGGAACTTTCCCCATGACCGATGAAAGATTGAATTGGGGATCAGAAGAAACGCGAGCAATGGCGCATAACGGTATGTAGTTCTCTTGTAAGGAGATTCTCCGGATGCCATTAAAGCCGCAGCATCAGAAAAAACCATGTAATCAACATCAGTGTACCTAACCTCCATGTGAGTATCTTGCCATTCTCCATAGACAATCAAAAACACACGCAAAAGCATGGAGAATCCAAGCAGATTACGAAAATCCACCAACTTCATCCCTAAGAAAATACAAGCAGATCTTAACTCCTCACTATAAAAAAACAAGAATTTCAAAAACCCCAGAACAAACAATGGTGGGTTTAAATTCCTCAGCTCCAAGATTTCTAATATGCAATTACTAATCCCTGATCAAGTTAAATCTAACATACTAGCGACTTACGTTTTCATACTTCATCAAAAATCAACATTTCGTTAACTTGTGAATCTTCAAACCTGTTAGAAGTAAATCGTTCCACTTGGACGCCTCTTAGATCCTTAAAACTTCAACGGAAAGCTCTAGGGCTTTGCAGGGACGATTGAAGTCGCCGGTGTATATGCCTTCGGCGGGAGATCTCCGATCCAACCTTAAAACACTCACCGAAAGGAAATAGAAAAAAAGAAAAAAAATTAATTTCAATTTGGTTCGTTTCTGGGTTATGTTTTGTTCCCGGTTTAAATTAACAATTTTTCGGTTCGGTTTTAGGTTCATAAGATTACGACTTTAATCAAGGTCTTGGTTTGAGATTTTTATTTTAAAAAAAACATTTGACATGCATTTTCACTAGGGTTTCCCATAAATAAATAAAAAACTGCATCAACCCAATATAATAGTATCAAGGTCCCGGATACAAGGCCACGGCCAGCACTTTGTAATACGGGTGTGCCGAATCCATTGCTCAAGGTATCAGACCTTATACATCGGACTTCCCATACGTGGAATGTCCACGCTATACGGCAACATATTCACCCACAGGACATCCCACGGATATTGAGTCTCCGGTTTATATATAGACGACATATCTTAATGTTTTTAAATCTCTGAATATTTATGATCAGTCTTTTTCTTTAACATGTGCTGTTTAATTAATGATGACAAAAAATGGATAGTTTATAGTAAAATACTTGCACTCATGAGTTAATTAATGTATTTTTGGTCCGGATTACAAAGTGTACAACTAATCGATGGCAAATTTCTACTATTCTTTTGTTCATCACGACGATATGGTTAGAAACACGTTACAACAAAGACGTCAAAATCAAATCATCA